AGTCAAGTTTCGAAGATAGCACCGGAAGTGGTATGTTATAATAAAATCATTCAACTGATAACATCAATTCAAATATCTATTCAAAATTCTAAGGTATTGTCAGAGGAACGTGTTACTGGCACCGTAACCACAGAACTACGCACTGATTGCGCTAACAATTTGCTCTCTTCGAGCGAGACAACCGGCCGCATCAGCTATGAAAATCGTGGCGAGTGTTTTTTCTTGCCATATACCAAAGACGATGTTGAAGGAAATGTCAATTTACGTGCCGGCGATAAAGTCAGCTTCCAAATTGCAACTAACCAAAGGTAAGTTTTTATTAGACATATAAGTCTATATGCATATAATTAATTATGAAATTTACAGAGGAAACCTTGGTGCTTGTCATATCCGTTTAGAGAATCCGGCACAGCCGGTAAAATACCGCGGTGTTGTATGCTCAATGAAGGAATCCTTTGGATTTATTGAGCGTGCAGATGTAGTGAAAGAGATTTTTTTCCACTTTTCTGAAGCTGAGGGAAATGTTGAGTTGCGTCCTGGCGACGATGTCGAATTTACCATACAAACACGTAATGTGAGTAACATATCTGTACGTATGAATATTTTTTGTCAAATCGAATATTAAACATTTCTAATAAGACTGATAATTTATTAAGTACGGTATGCACGCCATTCTCCGAAACGTTGATTTAGCACTGGGGGAATAGAGTTTAAGGCCAATTCCCGTTCTATGACATTTTTATCACTACATATATTTTCCATGCCATTTTAATCATTATTTTACATAAACAATTGTTAAGTTAAAAAGGTGTTCGCACGAGGCGATTTTACGTTCAACTCTCGTAGGTTTGCACGAAAAAAAAGTTGAATGGCTAAATGTTGGCTGGCGACCAACTTTGTTGAAAGCGGTTAGTTGAAAGGCCATTGAACCAAAAGCTTCATGCAAAGTTGAACAACGCAAACGCCTTTTTATGGCGAATATTTTGTTATTTTTTTATATTTTGATATTTTTAGCCATTACATTTTTTTCGTGCAACCCTGCGTGTCTTGTGAACCCCCTAATTGTATTTAATTGTTGTTAAAAAAATACAACTAGATCCTATTTTATTGTTGGTAAAAAAATACAACTAGATAACTAGACACTTCACCACTTCGTGAAACGAAATTTGCGTTATGATTGGCAAATTTTTCCGCATGGATTTTTTATTTCGCTTTGAATTGTCCAAAAATGATTACTTTTATTATCGATCGGACATCTTTAATATCTACAAATAACAATTTGAATAAAGGTTATACTTAGGTATCGATATCAATAGCAGTTGTGGTAACGATAACGACAGGAACATTTATTTTGGTAAACAAGGGGTACAGCTGGTTGTTTTGTATGGTCTATAAAGTTAATTTAACATGGTATTCAGTATTTGAAATCATGTTTTTGCTAGTAACGAATCGAAAGAAGTTAAATTTCCGTAGTTTGGCCCAGGCGCATTTTATTTTAATTTAATATCAAAATTTGTGTAGTTAATCATTCAAAAATTGTCTATTTGAGATCAGCCCAGCTAGCCTAACTTTATTAATATTGTGTATTTCCATTTGCAAGGGCCGTGAATTTGCTTGCAATATAACACGCTTAGCACCAGGTTCTGTTATTTTTGAGGACGTGGATACCACTATCTACAAAGGACAAGTTTTAAAGCCACTTGACCGCAATAATCCAGCTCGTCAAACCAATGATCCCTTGCCCGGTCGGATACGTTATCGTGCACCAGATTATTCTGAAGTTGAAGTACCGTTCGGCGATAAGGATCAAGTAGGAATATAAACCAACTTAAATCAAAGCTGTATAGTTCTCATAAGCTATTTTCTCTGCAGAAGGGAGATTTTACTTTGCGACATGGTGACTGGGTTCAATTCTTACTTGCGACTGACAGACGCGATCAATTGCAGCGTGCTACTTCGATATCTTTACTCGACGAAACCTTTAAAGTATCTGGTGAGAAGCGTGAACAAGGTGTAGTTGCTTCGCTTAAAGAAGGTTTTGGCTTCTTGCGTTGCGTTGAACGCAATTTACGTTTGTTTTTTCACTTTACGGAAGTGTTGGACACTGTAAGTAATAAAAAAATATAAAATACGGTAAAGTTTATATATTGGTATACACTGGTTTTACTTACAGAGCCGGGAAATAGCAGTAAATGACGAAGTTGAATTTACTGTCGTCCAAGAACCCGGTGTTCCCTACAATACTTCTCGTTTACATGCCATTCGCATCAAGCACCTACCACCCAACACGGTGCAGTTTGAAATGTTAATGGCAAGTAACATTGAAGGTATTTTGAGAAATTATTTCGCAAGCCCCTTTCAGCAAAAGCTAATATTTTGTGTTATTTTTTTTTTTAAAGGCTCTGTTACACGCGAGGCTCCTAAAAGCCCAGTTAAATCCCAAGATCGCGTTGAAGGCGGTGTGATCACTTATGATCACGGTGATGTCAAAAAGACTATAATGTATTTCCTTAAAGACTGCGAGAAACCACCAAGAATTGGAGATCGTGTACGATTCGATATCTACTTGGTGAGTATGTGATGTACGGAATTCCATAAGGGGCATTTTAAGTATTTATAAACTCTAATCATGTTTCGTTTACAACTGAATTTGTCAATGAATTCGGCAGTTATGTCACGTAGTTATCATTAATAATTATTATTATTAAATATGGCAGCATTTTCGATTTTTATTATAATTCTTTGTGTCCGTATAATTCATAAGAATAATTTATAAATAAATAAATACAAATAATGATGACAACGTTATATACATAACTTTTTTTTTTGTGAAAAAATTGCGATCTTGCCCACAATATTTTAGTTTATGTTTTAATTCTACTATCTACAACCCCCCTAGGTAAAACGAAACAAAGAGTTCATTGCTGTAAATGTACAGCTTATAGGGCAAATGCAACAGTTACACCAGCAACAGTTGCAACAACAACAACAACCACAACATATGTTAACCAATACAACGAACCAACTACAACAACATCAACATATGCATAACCAAAACAATGAGCAGATGCTATTGTCCAATGGTGTCGGGGTTGGCCTTGGTGTCGGCGTCGGTGTTGGTGTTGGTATGAGCGCTGGAGGTAATAGTGGTGGTATGTTGCTGCCACCGCAAAACGGATACTTACCAATGGCCAATTCCAATCAGCTGCTATCCACACCAAAGATTGAAGACTTCAAATTGGACAATAATAACTTATCAATGAACGAACATGGCCAAACTTACCGAGGCTTTATTGCTGTCATCAAAGAAAATTTTGGATTTATTGAGACGCTTTCACATGATGAGGAAGTCTTTTTCCACTTTAGCAATTATGTTGGCAATCCAAACTGGTTGGAACTTGGCCAAGAGGTTGAGTACACCCTATCACCGAATGGCAACACTTCCGTTTCGGGTAATTGCTTGCCCGCTGAAAATGTGCGCACTCTACCAAGAGGCTCAGTACCGCAACCAGCCGTCTTAGAGGGAATACACAATGGAGTAGTAGCACGCCCTTTACGTTGCATTAATCCCGATCAGCAGGAGTATGCCGGACTCATTGAAGTGTTGGATGAAACTAAACAGAGTGTTTTGTCGCAACACGAATTTGGAATTACCAGTTTGGTAAATAAGCGTGATTTACTCCAAAAAGGGGATTTGGTAACTTTCAAAATAGATGAAATCGGCCGTGCAGCTGAGATAAATGCCGTACGTCAAAAGAAGCGTGCAACTGTTGATTCGATTAAAGGCCAATTTGGATTTCTCAATTACGAAATCGAGGACGGCAAGAAGCTCTTCTTTCATATGTCCGAGGTTCAAGGAAATGCTGTCGCATTACACCCAGGCGACACAGTTGAATTCTCCGTGGTTACCAATCAGGTAATAAGTTTACCCCTCGTGTCTATTTTATTTGTGTATGTACATATATAGTTATATATATATAATTTATGATACGAACGGAAAAGCATTTGAAAAGCACATGCGGTATTTTTTATTATTGTGAAGGTATTTTCATCGTCGGATTATATCAATGCAAAAGCCAGTATTAATATTATTTCATTAGTTGCCTCCTAGATGCACTGTTATACCAAACTTCAAGGTCATATCTTGCGACAGTCGGGTATACGTAACCGGAACGACCCAGATTTATATCTGGCCAAGGACTGTCACTCCAGCTACACTCCCCAAAAACTCTTTGGGGAATTTGTATGCTGTTACAACAACAACAACCATGTCTTAAAATTTTTTAGATTTATTAAAATCTTTAGAACAGGTCTATAAGCAAATCCTATGTAAATTTTAAAAGTGGGTTTCTGTATATTTTCAACTTTGTCAAATAAGACGTTTTGCCGATGTCGATCGATCTTCTTTTAAAAATCGCAGAACAAACATATGTACACATTGTTACTTTTAAAATTTGCATATGTATATACAGTTACGGTCAAAATAATAGAATCAAGATTCAAAATGATGCTTTGAAACTTTTATTTATGTGGTATCTGATATAGGTCGACCCATATTTTAAATGAAAATTTTTAACAATACGTAAATAAAGATAAGATGCCAACATCATCATTTTGGACCTTGATTCTATTATTTTGACCGTAACTGTACATACACCTTCCACCATACACACATGTAGATAAAAACGTATTGTATAAGACCACTTTAAGAAATTTAGGGATCAGTAGTAACACATACGTACGTGTCTATTAGACTAATTATTTTCATAAAGTTAAAGCTGCCTGCCAAAGATGTAAGACCCGTAATTTTTTTTTTTATTCGGATATGTTTTGTGACACGATCACAATTAAAAATTTGTTGCATTTATCTTTTCTTTTATCCGAAAGTATATTCTGTTTTTGATGGAACTGGTTAGGAGATTTACATGTAAAGTCCTGCAAAATTTATTATATTGCTAATTTTTGCTCTTCTTTAGCGCAACGGTAAATCGTCAGCTTGCACTGTGCTAAAGATTAATGATCGTCCAGACCGTTTGATATCCCGCCTTAAGTTAAATGCAGACGATACTGTGCCACGTCTAATCATCACTCGAGCACCACGCGGACCACAAAGCAAAGGTTTCTTGCCGCAGGCACGTATTGCACGCATTCCAGGTAAGTTTGCCGCAACAATTTAAGGGACTCTCTCCGTAAACATTCATTTGTACTCTTTTCCATCAGGAATCACAATTGAATAAACAGCAGCATTGACAAAAACCGAACTCGAAAGCTCAACACTTCGTGGTGAAATATCCGCAATGACATATAAAATAAATGAATAAACAGAAATTGAGGGTGCAGGATAAGCGGGGGAAGAGACATGGATATTTTATTTAACACAACTTATAGTGTACTAAGGCAGTTGAATTGCAGTAAGTTAAAGAATTAGAAGCTAATGAAAAGAAAAGCGTAAAGCCTCATCTCTTCCTCAGAAATAAAATAAATATGACATATTTATTAATACGAATACAAAAATAACACACTACAAAATCTTAAATAAAGGAATACAGTAATAAAAAGAAAATCTTTACTGCTTGTGTTAAAGAAAAGAACTACATAAAAGCATTATGATAAGAAAACAAGATATTGCAGGCACGTATCAGGCACGATCGAAAACAGTTTATGTTTTACTGTGGTCATTCAAACATTTTACGATATGCCAAAGTGCAAGCGGATTTCCAATTAATTATTATTATTTTTTTTTTATTAATAATTGACATAAACATAATATGATGAGTATTCAAACACAAATTAAGTAAAAGAAGTAAAATGAAACTGCTGAGGTCAAAGGAGTAATAGTTGGAATGCAAACAAAAGCCACGGTAAAATTCAGGAATCTGTATTGCAAACCGGCACATACTCTCGTAATTTAACCATTAGCAGCAAAAAAAATTAAATTATTTATTGTCCATATGTAATCTTATGCTTGTATGTAATTAATTCATTGAAAGAAACCTTTTAATTTATTTATGTGTGCTGTATACACAAGCAAAGTGACTAAAATTTAAATCCTTCAATATGACAAAATTATAAGTTATGAACAAAGTATGCCCCACTTTTAGCTGGAAGTTTTAAAATGTGTAATATAAAACTATTACCCTAAATCTATCTGTGTTAAATCTTCGTATTTTGCTATTTAATACAAACTGATATCTCCCAGAATGTTTTTGACGTTCGTTAAATGTTACAATGCCAAATTACAATGATGAATTTCGTATACTGTTTTGACGCAACCAAAAATTCTTTATTCTGATATTTCTCTTTCTATCCTGGATTATTCACCATGATTAATACTATCTTGCGTTGCAGATCTTAGAACTATTTTTTTGTTTAGTTTCCATTCATTCAGCTATTACTAACTACATATATACATATACATACACGTACTACTACAAATGCTTATGGAAGAATATTATCTGTCTCACTTATTCATAATGCTATCGAAATGAAAATGCTATTATTACATATATTATAAACTATATTTTGAATCTTAAAATATTCCTTTATTATAATTTCTTCCTTTGAAAATCATGCAAATTAGCAATTGAGCGATGATATAAAACCAACACACAAAATTAAACAAAGTTTAGTGTTTAGTTATTTAATTTAATTTATATTACAAAACAGTTATTGTAATAACGGTGATGAATTAAAAAATCGTTGCATTAAATCAAACAATAAATGCAAATTTTGAAGTGGCGAATTCAATTTGCTCCGTCAGTTTGCAATATACATATATTATATAAAAATTAACAGCTAAAAAATGGCAACAAAAAAAAAACATTTAATTAAGTAAGAAATCCCCCAAATTAAGCAAGATACAAAAATATGAAACTAAATAATATAGAGTATTAAAAATATATAATGATAATCTTCATGAACATACAATGAATTTCAATTACATTCAAAATTGGGATCAGTCCTATAGCCATGTTAAAATTATAACAACTTACAGAACCAAAAATATACAAATAAAAACTTTGAGAAGGAATGAAATTATATATAATTGCTTGAATACCAATAAAAATCGTAACATCAAAAACATCACAAGAACAAACAGAACAAAACAAATAAAAAAAAACGCAAAACTGCAAAAGCAACAAAATACAAACTATATGAAATCAAATAAATAAACACATAATTCATTAAAACTAAATAAGTCGTAGCTTTTTGTTACACCTGATTGCATACACGTAGGAATTATGCATATGTGAAATGGTAAGGTGTAAGGTATGTATATTTTTGAAAATAATTTTATATTTCGTCAGTTAATGAATACACGCTTCCACGTTGAAAAAATAACTACATCGAATCACTTGTTTATCACCAAAAAGGATCAGTCCAGCGCCTTCGTCTTGACCTGCAGGCTGTGTCCGAGGCACAGCCGCTATACTTAAATGTAGAGTACGTGATATTATTAATATCACATTCAAGTTAAAAAAGGTACATGAAATATTCATTTTGATTGTATTGAATTGAATTTAATAAATCAATATGAATTGCAGAATATTAATACTTAGCAATAGCTTATAAATCAGAGGTTCACAAACTTTTTTTCTCGTAGACCCCATTCAAAAGTTTACTGGTTTCAGTGGACCCCCTGCTGATACATTTCTAATTATTCCCAAAACTCGTAGAAAATTAAATGTGAAAAATAGATCTAGCAATGTAAATTTGCATCGCGAGTGAATTCAAAAACTAAACTCAGAGTGGCCAAAATAAAAGTAAAATATTTTCTTGTGTTCTATTTTTAAAAACTAGTAATAATCCCCGAAAATCGGGGTGCTCTTTGTTTAAAAATCTGAATATTTCTTTATTCTAAAAACCACATGCATTGCTTTTGGTATTTAACTTTAACTTTGGTATTTTGCCAAGATCATACTCTACTCAATACTTATACAATTATTATTATTTTTATTGCGGACGCTACAATAATTTTGAATTGGCGACGTTTAAATACAAACGGAAGTTTTGATTCGCTGGACTATTAATTTATATGCGGTAGTGAAACTCGTTTCCCTTGTGAATCACATTTTTTAAGTCCATTAACTAACCCTTTATATGTACATATATACATATTAGCTCTGATCCAGTACTCCATGAACTTACAGGATTTTACACGAACTTGCAGGAAGTTGCAGGAGAAATGTTCCCGTACTCTAAAATCCTCCAAAATCCTGTAAATGAGAGCGACTTTTGGAGAGTTGTGTAGAGAATGAAGTTGCAAGATTTTAACCGAACTTTTTCTTCTGGTAAAATCATGAAAAGTATCAAGCGATCACTGGTTGACGTTTTTACAGGAAAAATGGTTTTTTGTTCCCGTAATTTTTGCTGTTACTCACTTTTTACTCTAAATTACTCTCTGAAGTGAGAGTAAAAAGTGAGTAACAGCAAAAAGTACGGGAACAAAAAAACCATTTTTCCTGTAAAAACGTCAACCAGTGATTGCTTGACACTTTTCATGATTTTACCAGAAGAAAAAGTTCGGGTAAAATCTTGCAACTTCATTCTCTACACAAGTCTCCAAAAGACGCTCTCATTTACAGGATTTTGGAGTACCGGAATATTTTTCCTGCAACTTCCTGCAATTTCGTGTAAAATCCTGTAAGTTCATGGAGTACTGGATCAGAGCTAATGTAGTCCTTTAACTATTAGGCGAGACCATTAACTAACCCTTCATATATACATAAATACATATTTAGGTCGGGGTTTAACATCACGACTGCTCTAACTCTTAGTATCAAGTCATGAGGTGCAACTCCCGTACTCCACTTGCTCCTGTGGATATGGGTGTAGCCCAAGAATGATAGAATACAAGATTGCGCCGATCAGAGAGGATTTTTGAGAATAACTTTTGTGTGACGTCACACTGCACAGTGGCCAATTTTTCGAAAAAGCTCGTCAAAAGTCGAAGCGTGGTACAATTGTAATCAAACCTTGTGTATTCGTCTTTATTTCGGCTGCTGGTTTTAAATTTCACCACATAATTTCGAAATTCAAAATGGCGGATCCATGGCTGCTGTGTACCCTTAAAATAATCAAATTTTTAGCAAAACTAAGGTAGTTAAGTATAAAAGGTCACGTTTTCTGCTTTTTTGTTATATAATGTGATGTAGCGGTTAGCAATATACGCTATCATTCCGCAGCGCCTGGGTTCAAGCCCAGTTTCCGACCAGCATCAAAAAATAAGAAACAAACAAGTTTTTTGTAATAAAGTCGCCCTTTGGCAGGCAGTGGCAAACGCCCGAGTGTATTCAGTCACGAAGAACAGCTTCTCATAAAAATAAAATCCCCGTTCGGATTCGGCGTAAAACTGTTGGTCCCTCCCCTTTGTGCGCCAACACCAAGGCGCACGCCACAAATCGGAAGAGAAGCTCGGACAAATACTAATAAGGTCTTAAAGTTTGTTTCTAAAAATCTTGATGTTCAAATTTACACGGGAACTGCGGGATTTTGAATTAATCAATAAACAAGACATATATATTTGTTGGTATAGGAATATATTTTTAAGATAACAATTTTATACACCGTCAGACTCGCAGTCATCTGAAGTATCCAAGCTCATATCTATATTTTCTGATGGCAATTCCGCATCCGCATTTACAACAGTTGATAATAATTTAATGGCATCTGACGACAGTTTATGATTTTGTTTTGGTGGATTTAAACGTAAACTTGAAATGACAGGGTCCGAGGATACAAGCAGCCGATATTTTTTAATATCCTTATTCCTTGACTCTTGGGCTTCTTCGGAAAGTTGTCCAATTGGCAGGGGTGCCCATTCAATAATTAGTGGCCCATGGATGACCACTCTAATATAGTAGTACTTTCTGACATCATTTAAATTCTAAAAACCCCCAATCTATAAAACATCCAAATCATGACAGAAATAAAATTTTACATAATTTAAATCTTTTAAACATAAAAAATTAAGAATCGCGTATAAAAACTGATGTCCAAACTACAGTGGCGGCTTGTGGCAGGTGGTTTTAACCAAGGTGGATGGGAAAAACTTCGATATGTATGAAAAAGAAAATTAGACCGCCCATCTCGACCACTCTCGCAACTATTTTCCTAATCCATCATAATGAGTGAACAAAAAAAAATCAATCCGTGAATATCTACGTCTTAAGTAAGTTTTTAGATGGCGTGACAATGAAAAAACATGTTGCACATACTCTAGATTACAATGTCCATGAGCGGATGATTGAAAACTGTTGTTTTTTTTTTTAAGGATAATACAACGATTTTAACAACGACGAAAACTCTAATTTACAAAAAGTTTAGAGCGAATTGCTAGCAACAGTCACTTCGGTCTCCTGTAACACTAAATGCCTTAAGAGAATCGACTTGTTGTCTCATAACGATACACAGTAGAGCCCTCCTAACAATATAAGATGGTTATGCATACGAATGCACCAATTTTTTTTGGACTTTTGGCCAGGGTTTTCCAAAAATTGGCCACTGTGCACTGGTGCAATTGCGAGAGAGAAATGCCAAAACGTGAGCAAGAATGTAAGAAGAAGAAAAAATATTGCAACATGGTGAAATAAAAAAAAGGTGATATCAGTAATCTAATATGGCGTCGCATTTGACAAAATTGGCCATCATAAATTACAATGTTGCTAACTAAATTTTTCCTCCTATTTGTGCTTCCAATAAGAAATATACTGTCGGCAACACTGTTTCCCTGTTTTCTTTTTTACTTTGACATTCGCCTGCGTTCTTTCAATAACTTGCGAGAAAATGTTCGGAAGTTTTAGTTGAGGCGGTAAGTATGTATGTACGTTCATACAATTTATACATTTTCTACTAAATGTTGAGCTTGGTGATTTTTAGTATGCAGTTGTATACTAGTTTTTAACCCCCTTGAAGATACATCACTATTTAGCTCTAAGTGGGAACCCCAAAAATGGTTCATTAATTTACCTTTTAATGATTGTATTATTTTATTATTTAACCGTGAGAACTTTCATAATACGCCTTTTAGCTGCGAGTCCCTTAAATATCGTTTTAGCCGTTTAAAGCATACTACATGCAACAATACGACAGTATACAACCCCTTGTGAATATGTTTTATCCTTCTAGAGGGTTAAATGAACTAATTATTATTTTAATTATTGACGTATTATTTTTTAATAGAATATGTTAAGAGTACCTTGTGCTTTGTGACATACGACATGGCCAAGTGCAGGTGTAACTCGTTTTCAAGTTCCGAAATATTTATGACTCCAAAATTCTCTAAAACATAACATGTAAACTAGCAGGGCCAATTAAATTATTTTCTATTATATTATATCAGCTATGCTATGGAACTCAGCTATTCATAGTATACAGAAATAAGTGTTTGTAAAGACTATTAATTAGCTTCGAAAAAGCTACATATTATATTAATTCTAGAGTTTCAAAATATTAAATTTGAAGTTACATTTATTTATTATCACTACATTTCTATGCATTATAAATTCGAAAAACATGTGCATTTAATAAACATGTAAACTAAAAAATATATACATAAAACATTAAAAAAAACTTGAAAATATCCAGCGATAAATGATGTTTCTCTCCTGTTCATCAAGTTCTATTTCAGCTTTCAATTCTCGCCTGAAGCATTATTTCTTAGCCGATAAGAGGGAATATGAAATGGATAAGTAGGGATCAACAAACACCAAAACGTGTTTGATTCCAAAAGTTGTTTAGTCCTTTACCAAATTAAAAAGAAATATTTTAAAAATAATAGACAAGATTTTCTTTTTTTCTTTTCGGATTTTCGACAATAAAAATTATCGCATGCCGCCCTAATGTCTAATAATTATTGTTCTATGTTTCATTAATTAAATAATAATTAATTGCTGATTTATTTTCACTCCAGTACTACGATTTTAATAAAGTACTAAAAAGGTAGTAAAGGGCACCAAAAGATTCCCTGTTCTACTAACCTCAAA